ATTGATAGTTATATTATATTAGAATATTTTTTTATTGTAATAAAAAATACTCAATTAATTTAAAAATGAACGAATGCTTAAAAAAAATTATTGAGTAATGTCACAAGAATTATTTTTTTATAATTAATATCAAAATAAAAAATTACACTTATAAAATTATTACTTTTATTATAGATTGTTAAATTACATTTTTAATAAAAAAATATTTATGAAAAAATTACTTTTATGAAATGTAGTTTGAATTAAAAAAAATACATTTATAAAAAATTACTTTTGTTATAGATTGTTAGATCAAATTTCTAATTATATCTAATAAGAGTGACTATAAATTGCTTTAAATTATCATCTATTAAAAATAATTATAATATTTTTCATAATTTATGATTTAAAATAATGTCTGATTTGTAAGTTTAAAATAATTTATAATTTAATATATACTTCAAACACTAAAGTATGAGTTGAATTAAAAAATTACACTATAAGATTATTACTTTTATTATAAATTGTTAAATTATATTTTTAATAAAAAAATTACACTTATAAGATTATTACTTTTATCATAGATTGTTAAATTACATTTTACATACAAATTATTTATGAAAAAATTAATTTTATGAAATGTAGTTTGAATTAAAAAAAAATATATTTATAAAAAAATTATTTTATTATAGATTGTTAGATCAAATTTCTAATGAAAAATAAGTTTACATATTTAAATTATCTATTTAATTAGTTTCATATAATATGTAGTTCAATATATATTTCAAAAACTAAAATTTACTTTAAAGTAAAAAAATTGTTAACTTAAATTTCTAACAAAAAAATTATATATTTAAATTATTTTATTAGAAATTTTATTATATATTATATTATATTATTTATTTATTTATAACTTTTCATATATCTTTAAATAAGACTTCATCTTTATTTATATAAGTCATATTCAGTTGTTTACACAACTTTTAAAAACTTACTTACCATCCTTTCTATTGTCATTTTTTTTTGTATTTTGCAATTATGTCAGCAGTCAATAATTATCTATCCACGTAAGTACATGTATTTTCGAGTTTGATATTTTCTTTTTATTGTCGTCTTTTTTCTTTATATTTTGTAATCATATCAGCAGTCAAGGATTACCTATCAACGTAAATATATGTGTTTTTGAGTTTAATATTTTTAATTTTATTGAACTATGAAATGAGTAGTATATTTCAATCTATTTTTTTAAGTTAATATAAAGTTGTATTGTTTTAGCCTTGATATCATGTATTGAATTTTATTTTTAAATAATTAATTTGTATAAAATCTATTATTATTATTTTTATATTCATCACAAGTAATTATTTACTTTGATGTTTTCCATGCTTTTGTAGGAGAATAACAAGTTTCAATGAAGATAAATAGACTTTTCTTAACAATCTGAATTCAATAACAGATGATTGGAAAATAAAAGTTAGGAATATCACGACTGTGGGATATACTAAACATATATCGCAACAAAGAGTTAATTAGTACTGATATGATACTCATTGATGAAAATGTATTAGATTTGTTTTTTCTTATAAAAGAATTATTATTTTTTATAAATTATAATTATGTTGTTCTATAATAACTTACTAAATTTATTTCTAAATTTTCTAACTGATTAATTTTTTTTATAGAACAGTTACATACATGCTTCCATAGGACGAAATATTTCTTACAGGTTCAAAGGTATACTAAAGGAAGTAAAAGTATACTCCATAACAAATTTTACAGTGACAAAGAAAAAAGATAGATTTGCTGTGGTTGAAAACAATCCCTTCATGTTGCAATTCTGTGCCACAACTATTATTAAGGAAGTAAATGATGATACCATAATTCCTTTCCATATCTTTGAGTTTGTGAACTTTGAAGATCTGAGTGGAAATAATGTCTTAACAAGTATTTTGCTGTAAAATTTTACTAAAATTTGTATTTAATTTATCAATTAGTTCATTAAAATTATTTATTTTATTAATAGATGTGGTTGAAGTGGTCATGTATAGAAGTTCTATAGAAGAAAAAACAACTGCTCAAGGCAAGGTTAATGCCATAACGCTCCAATTACAAGACATGAGGTATAAATAATTATTCTAAAGTTATTATTAATTGAAAAATCTTATAATTTTGGTTAAATCATTTGCAGGAGAAATAAAGTGAAAGTAACACTGTAGGATGATTATATTACACTATTTGAAGAGATAATAAAAAATAACACATCTAAGGATTCAAAAATCAATGCTGCAATATTCACATCCACTATTTTTTTATTATCTCTCTCTTTTAACTCTTATTTTTCTTATTTTTATTTTAGTTGTGTGTTATTATACTGGTACTCTGGTTCTAACAAGAAATGTGTAGATGACCCCTCCAAATAAATCAAATCCAAACCAACCAATGTAAAGACCTTCATATTGTTCAGAATTTTTTTGAGTATAAATATGCAAATAAGAATTATCTGCTCGTCTTTTAAATGGGTCATCACTACTATCACAACGAGGACCACAATCTCAACGAGGACTTGACACATAAATAAGTTTAAACATCATGCTCGGTTTCTTCTTATGGACGAGGATCATGATCTCAGCGCGCTCTGACAAAATCCATCAAGAGGGGTCTAATTATCGTCCAACTGTCTCGTATGAGGCTTTTATTGGACCCTGCTATATATAGTATTGAACGCCACGCACACTACTAGAAAACTCAAAAATATAGACGGATTTACAGACAGATTTTTTCACTCTTATAGACGGATTTTAGCATTACAGACGGATTTATTGACGGCTACAGTCCGTCTATAATATGCGCGTCGGTAAATAATTACAGACAGAAAAATCTATCTGTATTACAGACGGAAAAATCCGTCTGTATTACATTTATTTATGAAATTTCAAAAAAATTGTTTCATTTTTTTTAAAAACATAATTATTTCTCGCTGTTCCTAATTATCACAATTTATAAATATAATAAAAACTACAAAACTATATATTTAAAATTAAAAGTTATTTATAAAATATAAAATTAAAATTTCATTACAAAGAAAGAAGTAAACATCTAGAAAAATAATATGAAAAATAAAATAACGTTGTAGATAACTAATAATCGGCGTGATCATCTTCTGAAAAAGTATCATCATCAGTTGAGGAGGAGTCAGAGGAGGAATGACGCATGGAGCTGAAGATTGGTGGTGTTGGATCTGGTGGAGGAGGAGGAAGAGATGTAGAGGTGCTTGCTCTCATGAGCTCAAAGTATGTATGCATCTGCTGCATCTGCATATGCTGTTGCTACACCTCTCTCTGCATCCTTGATGCCACCTTCTTCTCCATTTTCTTCGCCCACTTCTTCTTCCATGCACTTTTCTTGGTCTTCCACATCTCTTCATTTTGCTTCTGCAGTTCTTCATTGAGGGCATGGACCTGAGGACCATCTCCTCCACTTCTTCAGGTACAAGAGAAGAGGCATCTCTGGTGACAGATGCAGGAGACATAGAGTCTGCAAAGCGACTCCCCATCTTCGCCCCTTTCTTCTTCCATGCACTTAATAAAACATGTATCTAATGTAAATTTTGGCAAAATCTCCCCTAATATATGAATATTTTCTTATATTTGTTTACACTTAATAAAATAAATTTCTAATGTAAATTTTGACATAATCTCCCCTAATATATGAATATTTTCCTATATTTGTTTACACGTACTTAATACAAAAATCTAAATTTTCTTTACACATAATCTATATATTATATAATAATCTATTAATCAATGCATCAAAAACATACACATTACAATCCTAAACCGTTCTAGAGCACATCCCCTTATAACTCCACAACATGTATATTCCACAAACTCCGTAAATACAAACAATCCAACAGCACACAATAATCAGGTTCAGAGAAGGACCTCTACACCCTTCCCCATGCCAGTCATACAATCTCCAATCCTACAACTCTATCTTAGAAATTTTAAGTCTCTAAAATACATCAAAAATAAAAAAACTAAACCGATTAAAAGTTAGAGTATCGTACCAGGAACACAATGATGCAAATTATCTTTCAAATGGATGCTCCAATCACTCGCAAAGGCAAAAAAACTGAAGCTCTTTGAGAGAGAGACAGAGAGAGGCGAGAGAGAGATTTATGAAAAATGAGGAATGGAAAGGGGGTGGCGCGAATTTATAGGTTTCAGATATTATAGACGAAAAAATCCGTCTGTAAATAGTTTAATGGAACGGTGCGTTTTAAAGATCCCGTTACATATGGATATTTCCGTCTGTAAATCCGTCAAGTCGATTTACAGACGAAAAAATCTGTCTGTAAATTGCCACATGAAAAGGCGGTTAAAAAGGATAATATTTACAGACGGATTTTTCCGTCTATAACTCCCGCTCCAAATTTTCCTCCCTTTTTCAAATTACAGACGGAAAAATTCGTCTGTAATTCCTGTCTATACTGTTTCGCGCCAAATGGCGGGTAAACTACAGACGGATATTACAGACGAATTTTTATCTGTCTGTATTACAGACGAATTTATAGACGGATTTGCCAGAAAATTAAAAAAAAAAAAATGCAAATCCGTCTGTAATACAAACAGATAAAAATCCGTCTGTAATATCCGTCTGTAATAAGCGCTTTTCTAGTAGTGGCACCCGTATCATTAAAACGTGCATATAATTCAATGGAATTTTATTGGAACACGACACGACACGACACGTTTCCCTAATATTTTCTGGTGAAAGTTTGCCCGAAAAAGAGAAAAACGTGGAACATAATGCAAACTGATAAGGTGTAGCTTTCATGGGTCATATGATAATGAAATTGTGTTAAATTACAACCTTATCTTCTGGCAATATACTCAGTCTATATAAAGACTAGCACCCGTTGCTCCAACGACTCAAACAAAAAACATATTACCCGATTTCATAAAAAAAATCATTTGATAATACCGTTGTTCTTTCTTCACTCAGTTTCAGATAACTAACACATGGCTTCATTATCTTCCTCTCTGAAATTTACAGCGAGAAGGTGCAAACCTGAGTTGGTAGCTCCTGCTAAACCTACTCCTCATGAACTCAAACTACTCTCCGACATAGATGACCAAGATGGCTTGCGTTTTCAGATTCCAATCATAATGATTTATCGTAACGAACCATCAATGGCAGGGAAAGACCCGGTTGAAGTGATTCGAGAAGGACTCGCTGAAACACTTGTGTTCTACTACCCATTTGCGGGTAGGATTAGGGAAGGGCATGATCGGAAGTTGATGGTGGATTGTACTGGGGAAGGTGTTATGTTCATTGAGGCTGATGCAGAGGTAACACTTGATCAATTTGGTGACTCTCTTGTACCTCCATTCCCATGCTTCGAAGAACTCCTATATGATGTTCCAGGTTCACAGGAGATTACTGACTGCCCCATTCTACTCATACAGGTCCAATTATATATACATATAGTTGACGATTCACTTGTTATCCACTTCTTAGCTTTAGAAAACAAATCCATGCAAAAAACCACATAAACTTTTGAAAACGTAAAATGCAAATTGCATTACAAAAGATCAAAAGAAGATTTAAATAGAAAAATTTTTGAGTGAAAAATAATTGTGGGAAAGTTCATCTCATATATTAAACCGTAATAACTAAATTTTCAATGTTGAATATCTAATGACAGGTCACACGGCTCAAGTGTGGTGGTTTCATCTTGATCGTCCGCTTAAATCACACCATGTGTGACGGAGCTGGTTTGTCACAATTCATGAATGCTTGGGCTGAAATTGCTCGTGGTGCTCGCCAACCTTCCATTCCACCTGTGTGGCAAAGGGAGCTTCTATTAGCAAGAGATCCACCTCGCATTACATGCAACCACCGCGAATACGAGCAATTTCCAAACACCAATGAAGGAACCGTTACTTCATACGAGAACAACATGGTTCTTCGATCTTTCTTCTTTGGACCCGCCGAGATGGCAGCCCTTCGTCGCTTGATTCCACATCACCTTCGCGCATGCTCCACATTTGATGTCATTACAGCATGCTTCTGGCTTTGTCGCACAAAAGCATTGCAAATAGACCTAGATGAGGATGTTCGCATGATGTGCATTGTCAACGCACGTGCGAGGTTCAATCCTCCTTTACCTGTTGGCTATTATGGCAATGCTTTTGTGTATCCGGCAGCAATCACCACTGCAAGGAAGCTTTGTGAAAATTCATTTGGGTATGCTGTGGAATTAATGAACAAAGTGAAAAGTGAGGTCAATGAGGAATATGTGCGTTCAGTGACAGATTTAATGGTTATAAAAGGACGATGCTTGTTTACAACTGTTAGGTCTTGTATTATATCAGATTTGACACGTAGCAGGTTTAGAGAAATTAATTTTGGGTGGGGTAATGCAGTCTATGGTGGAGTGGCCAAAGGTGGAGCTGGGTCTTTTCCGGCAGTAACTTTCCAAGTGCCATATAAAAATGCAAACGGAGAAGAAGGTATAATATTACCGATTTGGTTGCCCACCAAAGCTATGGAAAGGTTTGTGATAGAGTTAGGTGAGATGCTTGGGAACCAAAACCAACTTAAAAAGAGTGGTCCTCGTTCCATCATGTCAAGCTTGTAGTTTGCAAGCTCTCTCAATGATAAATGTAGCGTCCGTGAAACTTAAGGGTTTATATAATTATTTATTAAATAAAAAATAAAAGAAACTTTTAGTTCTGAACGTTTTACTTTGAAAATTTTATTAACATCATATTTAAAAATAAATGTAAATTATATTGATTATAAACAATAATATTTATTATTTTTGTTTATAAATTTTATTACAATTGTTAATAATATTTAATTTATTATTTATTAAAATTTAAAAATAATAGTAGACGTAAGGTTTGATTTGACACTTATCTGACAGCATTTAATCTTATTTGATAGCATCTATATCTATATTTATATGTAAAATTATATTATTATATTTATATGTAAAATTGATTATACCTACTTATTAACCTATGCATTAAATTTTGAAACGTATAAAGTCATTTTTATATATGTCACTTTGTTTACTTATTACTCTATGCATTAAAATACAAACTTATAAAGTTACTCTTATGTGCACTTACTTATTAATCTATGTATTAAAATTTGAAACGTATAACTTATAAATTAAAATTATATTTTATTCATATTTATTTATCTTTGAATTGTATTTAATTTTTTTGTTAGAATTGATAAATTGTATTTAAAGAATTAATTCAAAATCTATAAAGATACTTATATTAACTACATCTAATTATATTATATTATATATATATATATATATATATATATGTGTGTGTGTGTGTGTGTAAAATTGACTACACCTACTTTATTATTGAGTTATTAAATTTTGAAAAGTAACTTCATCTACTTATTACTTTATACATTAAAATTCAGAATGTATAAAGTTGTTCGCATTGACTCCACTTACTTATTACTCTGTACATTAAAATTTAAAATGTATAATTTATTAATTAAAATTATTAACATCATATTTAAAAATAAATGTAAATTATATTGATTATAAACAATAATATTTATTATTTTTGTTTATAAATTTTATTACAATTGCTAATAATATTTAAGTTATTATTTGTTAAAATTTAAAAATAATCCTAGACGTAAGGTTTGGTTTGACACCCATCTGTCAACATTTAATGTTATTAGATAGCATCTATATTTATATTTATCTATTTGTGTATATATGTAAAATTGATTACACCTATTTATTACTCTATGCATTAAATTTTGAAACGTATAAAGTCATCTTTATATATGTGACTCTATTTATTTATTATTCTATGCACTAAAATTCAGAATTTATAAAGTCACTCTTATGTGCACTTATTTATTACTCTATGCATTAAATTTCAAAACGTATAATTTATGAATTGAAATTATATTTTATTCATACTTATTTATCTTTGAAATATGTAAAATTGACTACACTTATTTATTACTCTATGCATTAAATTTTGAAATGTGTAAAGTCATCTTTATATATGTGATTCCATTTACTTATTACTCAATGCATTAAAATTCAAAACTTATAAAGTCACTCTTATGTGCACTTACTTATTACTCTATGCATTAAAATTTGAAACGTATAATTTATGAATTGAAATTATATTTTATTCATACTTATTTATCTTTAAATTGTATTTAAAGAATTTTTATTAGAATTGATGAATTGTATTTAAAGAATTAATTCATAACCTATAAAGTCACTCATATTAACTGCATATAATTATTACTCTCTACATTAAAATTCAAAACGTAAAACTTACCAATTGAAAATACATTTTATTCATATTTATTCTCTTTAAATTGAATTTAAAGAATCTTTATTATATTTGATGAATTGTATTCGAAAAGTAAAACTTATCAATTGAAATTATATTTTATTTATACTTTTATCATTAAATTGTATTTAAAGAATCTTTATTAAATTTAATGAATTGTATTTAAATTTTTTTATTAGAATTGATAGTTTTATTATGTTACAAATGACAACATAAATATTTATATTATAAATTGTCTTAAATTATCATTTATTAAAATTAACTACAATATTTTTCAAAATTTATAAATTAAAATTATATCTGATTCATATTTATTATGAAATACATTTAAAAAAAATTATTAAAATTTATGGTTATATTATATACGTTAAATTAAAAAATTATACTTATAATATCATTACTTTATATTATATATTATTAAATTAATTTTTTCATAAGTTTTTTACATATTTAAATCAATTTATTAATTAGTTTAATTTAATTTATATTTCAATATTTACTTCAAATACTAAAATATAATTTAAATAAAAAAATATATTATAAAATTATTACTTTATATTATATATTATTAAGTTAAATTTCTAACAAAAAGGCAAGTTTACATATTTAAATTATTTTAGTAATTAGTTTAATATAATATATAGTTCAATATATATTTTAAAAATTAAAATATTTATAAAATTATTAGTTTATACTATATATTGTTAAATTACATATATAATGAAAAGGTAAGTTACATATTTAAATAATTTTATTAATTAGTTTAATATAATATATGGTTCTATATATATTTTAAAAATTAAAATATACGTTGAATGTGAATTATTGTTTTATATTATATATTTTATGATGAAAGTAAATTGTAAATAAAAACATAATTTTTATTATATTAATTTTTTATTTTTGACTTTTCATATATCTTAAGGAAGGACTTCTCTACTTATATAAGTCATATTTACACAACTTTTGAAAAAATCTTGCTCACCGTTCTTTTTATTGTTATATTTTTTCTTTGTATTTTGCAACGATGTCAGCATTTAAGAATTACTTATCCATGTAAGTACATGTGTTTTCTAGTTTGATATTTTTTATTTTGTTTCACTAAATTGTGTTATATATTTTAATTTATTTTTTTGAATAAGCATAAAGTATTATTTTTAAATAATATAATATATTGAATCTTATTTGTAATTGATTAATTTGTATCAAATCTCTTATTATTTTTTTATATTCATCACAATTAATTATTTACTTTTATATTTTTTATGATGTTGTCGGAGAACAACAAGTTTCAAAGAAGATAAATGAATTTTATCTTAACGATCTGAATTCAACAACAGATAAATAGAACATAAAAGTACGAATATTACGACTGTGATATTTAATTATAAAAAATATCAATGTATGTATTATAGGTAATATTTATAGTTTCACATCAAGAACAACAAATAATTATGTTAATATTGACATACCAAAAGTTATTTATTTTATAGATTCATTCATGTATTGAAATTATTTAAAATCTCTTTGTTACGTTAATTATTGCTAATTCTTTATTTTTATTTTTACCACATTTTCAATTATTCATTATCACTTTGTTGAAGGGATTTTAATGATATGCATATTGCTCACAATATTGATAATACAAGATCTACTATTTTTCCTAAGTTAGAAAGTTCCAAAAACATATTTGAAATGTTGGCAATGACAAAATTAAAGAGTGATATGGTAAATTTAATCTCTCTTATACTTTGTTCTTCTTATTTAATTTTTAAACTAATTTTTAATTAATTTTTATAATGTCGTAATTCGTTGTATTATAACTGTGAATAATGTAATGCTTAAAAAATGTTAGTATTATATTTCTTGCTCCTATTGCAAAAAGAAAGTTTCTTTCATAACTATAAATTTTAAATGTGAATCATGTTATAAAGATGTAGAGTATCTAATGACAAGGTAATTAATTTTTCACTATGTATTCTAATTTTTAAATTTTCATATTAAAATAAATTAAATTATATATTATTACCTTAATTTATATATATTACAAGTTTCATCTTGAGCTTGATGTTAAAAATTTCACAGATTCAACTATATTTGTCTTATTTGATGAAGTTGTTGAACAATTATCACAAATAAAGTTAACAAATCTTATTGCAACATCTGAAATTGTAAGCAAATGTGTTAATTTCTAACTTTCTAAAAAATCTATCAAATAATTGATTATATAAATAAAATATATTAAAACATATAACTATTTTTATGTGATAATTTTTTTAAAGGTAATGATGAAGTGTTAAAGTTGTCTCCACAACTTTTAAAGATTATTGACACTTCACACATTGTTCAAATAAAAATGAGTACTATGAATACTAATTTTTGTTTTTTTTGCCTCATGGAGATTGCCTCCAAATTCTTTTTAAAAAATATATAAAATAAAATTGTTTTACATAAAAAATAGAAAATTTTGAAAAAAGAAATTTGACCCCTAAAAACAGAAATCTTAGATCAGGCAAGCTTACACTCAGCTCCCAGAGTAAACTCTATACATAATGAAAAAGAAAGGTTTAGAAGCTTGTCTTTATATGAAACCCTAAAATGAGAAGAACTGAACCTATATAAATAGACAAGTAAGGGATTTGAGAAGGAGTTTTTTTTTCATAAACAAGTAGAATATTATTTATATGTTGATATATCTTATTATTCTGTTTTGTTAAATTAATTTTTTTAAAATAAAAATCCTATTTATAAGAAAAATAAGTAATAATAAAACATTTATTTCTATTTTTACTGTTGTTATTTTTATGCTTTCATTTGTTAATTGTATATACTTTATTTAATTATTTGATTTAATATTTTATATATATAAAAAATAAAGAAATAAGTCAATTTATTATTATTTTTATCATACTATTTTTCATTTGGATATTAGGGTCTTAATTTTATTTTATAATATTATAATGATCTACAATATTAATGTGTATTATCTCTACCATTACATATTGTGAATTATTAAGAGTTATGTCTACTAATGTTACCTTGAGTTTTATACATTATTAATTTATATAAAAATCAAATCCAACTTATTAAATTATTTAATTTTATGATTATTTTTATTTAATTAAATATATTACCTAATTAAAAATATTTCTTTTATTATAAAAAATAACAATTCATCTATTTTATTTAGTTAAAATATATACATCATCTATAATATTTTCATCCAATTAATGCGGTGATTTATAGTATTATTATGTAGCGTCTCTACCTTTATACACTTTAAATT